GACGAAGTACACTGCTGAGGGGAGCAGCGGGCGGGTCAGGAGAGGTCTGGCTCGCCCAATAGGGAGCTGCGGGGCAGGGGGCAGGGGGGCAGGGGGGCACCCCCAGCTAGGGAGCAGTGACATCAGCTCCGTCCCCGCTGGTGGGAGCTTGTGGCTCCTGGTACCTCAGCGTGCATTTGGTAAGAATCTGGAGACTCAGGCTTTCTGCGAAGCCTTCAGATTCTGAAATAGTTGCCATAACTTGTATTACCAAAACGCCCACGCCGAACTGACTGCTGCACGCAGGCCCACACCGCCCTTTGGCCTGCGTGTTGTCTCCGGCTGAAGATGCCAAGGGTGAGTAGGAATGCGCATGACACATCTTCTTGCTGCCCTCCCACTCAGCTGTCCCACCCACGCAGATCCTAATTGATCCCAGTGTCACCACATGTTTTCTCACAGTGCACAATGTTTTCACTGTAGGAAATTGATAGGCTAATGTACTTTTATCGAGTTAACCAAAAATCGATGTTCTTTTCCGTGTATGTCAGATGTTAACTGTAAATTCACACTCTGGACAGGATTATTATTCCAACTGCCAAGAAAATAGAGGAGAAAAGGGGGGGGCGGGGACAAGAGCGCATCCACACCTCCCCCTGTAAGACGGTGTGTGGATTTCTGGCGCCACTTACTTGTGAGAAGAAAAGCTGCTGCGAAATGAGCCCTTTCAAGTCCCAGCTCATCAGATCAGGTGCCTGGGTGCTGGGAATCACATGGGCATGCTGGCGCGGGGCTGGGTGCTTGTCATTTCCGGGTGGCCGCTGGAGCTCAGCAGGGAGCGCGTCAGTCTGCCGCTCTGTGACAGTAGCAGCCCTTGCTGGTTGTGCTTGTCTGCTCTTCTGCAAAATGAGCACAGACGAAAAATTCTGCACCATTCCTGACGTCAGCAGGGTTTCTCCATTTCCACAGTGCGGATTCGCTGAAGTACAAGGAGGTGTGAGCCCCCCTGGAAAGCTTTGCACCACAAATTGCATTCAGTGGGCTTCTCTCCAGTGTGGATTCTTCAGCGTCGCAGATGTGAGCTGTAACTGCAAGTTTGCCCACGCACATCACACTCATAGGGTTGCTCCACTGCGGATTTGCTGGTGTCCACATTCATGTTTCTCCTCACTGTGGATTCTCTGTTATGGAAGGGACCTGACTCTGGCTGAAGCTTTTCCCACGCTCACTACACTGGTATCTCTCCAGGTTGGACCCTGGTGTATTGGATGTGAGCTCAGACAGAAGCTTCCCTGCAGCTGTTAACACAGGTATGGGTGGGTTGTCTGGTGTCAAATAAGGCCTGAGCTGAAATGAAAAGCTTTCTTACACTCATTACGTTAGCAAAGTATTTCTCCAGCGTGGAGAACACTTTGATCCTGAGCGGCGTGGGAACTGTACCAAAAGACTTTCCCACACTCGGCATAACGACACAGATTTAATCCAATATGTGCTCTCTGATGGGTAGTAAGTTATAGGCTCTGAATGGAAAGTGTGCTACATATGTTGATGGATAGTGTCCCTCCAGTGAGGATCCTTTTATGTTTAATGAGTTTTGAGTGAATCTCTTCCCATATTCATCACACTTAGTTTTTTTTTCTCCAAGTGTTCTCTGATCTCTTTCTCTTCACCTTTAATGCTCTTGGGTGTCTCCACGCCCAGGAACCAGACCACTGATTTGACCAGGTAACTTTTCTTGAGACTCTCTTCTGTGAGGAGGTTCTGCTTTTGAATCTGTTCTCCTTATCAATTCTGATCACACAACCTGAAATAAAAATTACAGCATTCAAATGTCACTGAAGTATACAGAAAATAAAATTAAACACATAATAAATATCCCAACAAATAAACTAGTTTCAGAGATTTTAAAGAGGAAATTGTGAGTAGGAAGGCAAAGGAAGAAAAGACTAACAGTGGCTGGACCGAGAAAGACATCACTCATGAGAAGAGTAGGAAAACCAGAGATGATGGACAAGCACAGTAAACAACGCAAGAAAAGATCTCAGCCAAGGACTGCTTCACCAGAGACTTGACCTGCCATTTGAGGACAATACCTCCGGGTGTCCTGAGGGAGGTAACAGTTGAGTCTTAACGAGTAGCTGTGAGTTGGTTTGGCAGAAGAAAGAAGTTGTGGTTACAGGTGGAATCTTGTGAGTTCAGCGAGGTGGTGATGTTTCTGCCTGTGGAGCAGCAGGGTGGGTGGCTGGGAGAACGTCCAGCATATTAGCAAAACCCAAATAGATGCTGAGTCTGATAGGTTGAACAACTAGACATCCTAATGTGACCAGAGAGTAGGGGGACAGAGAGTGGGAAGAGTGTTATGGGAGCCAGCCTTCCTGGTGCTCTCTGTGAATGAATTGCTCTCTCTTCCTTTACTAGTCAATTCAAATCCCAAGCACTCTGCTGTCACCAGCTTGCTCAGAACATGACCTCTGATTTGACAGTCATTTACTGTCTCAGATCAACAGCTGTCTTTTCTTATGGTTACTCAATGTCACAGGGATCTTCCTAGAACCCAGAGCCAACCTTTACATGTGTGATAGTTACAGATTAATCACATCCTTGGCAGGCCCCACGCGGCCCTGATGTCCTGCCCACCTTCTCCGTGTCCCCTGCCCGCATCTCTGCCAGGGCCCCTCGGTTTTTTTGAAACCCACCAGTTTCTTCCCCACTTGTCTGCTGTGACTGCTGTTCACTTAGCTGGACTCAGATCCCACGTCACTTGCTCAGAAGGCCTTCTCGAACTATCCTCTTCCCATGCATGCTCTCTCATAGTAGATGTGTGCATGTGTTTGATGGACGCCTCTGCCTCCAGTAACATCCACAGGCTCCGTGAAAGCAAGGGTCACACCTCTGCCCATTATAGCTAGTGCCTCGCACAGTACATCACACGTAAATTCTCAATATGTATTTGTTGAGTGATGAATGACTCTGAAGTCTCCAGGGAAGCGTGTGGCTGTGTCAACGGGTACCATGATCCTGTTGGTGCTGATGGTCTTGAGATTCACCCTGAGGCTGGGTCTCTGTGGCTGAAGCTGAGATAGGCTGCTTCCTTAGCTGGACCCGGAGGTACTGGTGTCTCAGAGAGCACTTCCCACATGTGCACATGCCGGGATGACCCCAAGGACAAGCAGGTTCACTTTGGCACCTGAAGGGCCCACAGTGTATGCAACCCCCAGGGGCACACAGAGGATCAGCTTGGATGCCTGCTTCCAACTTTCCCCACTGGGGCATGGGCCCCTTCCTGCATGCAGGCCTGGCTCACCCCTCTCCCTCCCAGGCCCTCCCCCGGGAGCCACTGCCCGTCCGCCCCTCCAGATGTGCTCCCACACCCATGTCTGGAGCTGCTCAGGCGCCAGCAGCCTGAGCCCCTCTGCTCCTTGCTGTGCGTCTCAGGCCTCAGCCACTCACAGCAGAACACCCAGAGCTGGCACAGGCTTTGTGGGGCCCTGGGGTCTCCCTTAGGCAGAGCTGTTGGAAGTGCTGGCGGAGTAACTCTGGTTGTTCTGGCTGCTCCCTCTAGCAGATCCCTGGCCTCCGCCAGGACCTTCTTTGTTGTTTACTTCCAAGAACCACTTTGGTTCTGCAGGAGCCCGTGTAAGGGACTCAGTGGCCATTTCAGCTCAGTGGGCACACGCTTCTAGGACACAGACACCACCGTTCGAGAAAGGGGGAGAGACAGAGACAGCTGATTAGGTACCCAGACTCATTCACTCAGCCTAATGTTTCTCTGTTGACTTGATCGAAAGTTAGAGAATTTAAAATTTCAGAAACAAAATGGCAATTCAACCCTTTATTCAAGTAGAACATTCGTCAAGAACAGCCTTTTTGACAACTCTGAGGTCCTGCAGGGTGCCTCCCCCAAACACAACATGCTGTAGATAAGGGTGAGCCGAGCTCGCTTACCCTTGTGGCCAGTCGTGGGCACTACCTGGACCGTCTTAGGGATGTCGCCCGGGGGAGGGCAGCAGCAGGATGGAAGGGTTAAGGCATCTCTTTCAAAGCAGCGTAAGGACCTGGCAAGGATCATGATAACTAGTGGGGCACCCATGGACAGCGCACGGTGACGCTGCCTCGCGGGTTTGCGCAAGTCTGCTTCCTGTCCACTGTAAAGTTGGTCAAGTTCTTGAGACAACTGTTTGCAACTTTTATCTTTCAGGGCAAGAACTTTCTGAGATAGTCAGATCCCACGGGCAGTGGGATAGCAGTGTCACAATGGTGACGACAACTGTGTAGTAACATCATGCTACACAGGCTGGCAGCAGGCTGTTGTGGGTAGTCGGCGCTTTCCATGTTCTAGGAGACTGTTCATTTAAGGAAGTCTGGACCCCATGGCTGGCATGGCGGGCAGTGGGAGTGATGTGGGCAGGGAATTCCAAAAGACCTGGGCTTGAATCCTATAAAGCTCTTATGTATGGCAGCTTCGCGTCTCTAAACTTTTATGCCCCCCTCTAAAAATATAGCTTTTTAAAATAATAATTTTTATTTGATTTAAAGATTTTATTTATTCATACAGAACTGGGGTACAGGCCAGAGGTGTGTGTTTGTGTGTGGGGGGGTGGGGTGGTGAAAGGATTCACCAGACATAGAGTAGGGAGCAGAACAGGCAAATCTACTGAAATACACTGCTGAGGGGAGCAGCAGGTGGGTCAGGAGAGGTCTGCCACACCACATGGGTCAGCTCCCTGGCCTGGGGGTTGAACTTGTGCTGCAGTGGCTGTGGACAGCTTTATAGTGCTGTGCTTTAACCTGCTGGCCAGCAAGGAGGGCCCAGAGCAGGTGATTCTTGCTATAGCGGCTGGGCCCAAGGAGTTTTCATCTCTATAGCTGGTTTAACAACTATGCTAATCATTTCTGCCCCTCTCCAGTTTCTGGTCTTGTGATACCTCCAACCTAATTTTTCTGCTCTTAGCTTCCATCAGTTTTCTTATAACTTTGATGAGAAGAAAAACAAAAAAATCCAGCTCCCTTGGAAATGCAAACACAAGGTTGCACATTTCCTGTTAACCCAGGTCACCAGATAGGTCACCTTGTACACCAGCTTCTTTGGCCACTCAACAAACCTAGGTAAGAATGTTTTCTTGAAGATAAGCTTTTCACAGACCTCCTGGCTGAAGGTAAGGACCGGAAGATGCCAGCAACAGTGATGGAGGTAAGATGCTTTAGTACAGGGCCTGCAGAGACACAAAGGAAAGCAAACACACACGAACAGGTAACAAAGCTACTTAGATCCCATCAGGACATTTCCAGGTCAAGGTCACTGAAAAATGCTGACACTTTTAGTAGTCTCTTAGAGGAAGATTCCATACACATCATAATAGATGATTATACTTGTAGTATTGAAACCAGGGAAGGTTTCACCACAGGGCCGGCGAGGGAACCACAGAAGCCCCACGCCTGCCACTTCAAAATAGGTTCTGCCACCTGCTACAGCAGGACAAAGCATACTCCAATGCGTAAGACCTTTAGTGGAAAGAAACTTTAATACAACTGCACAACAAGGAAAAGACAACGAATAGTTTCCAAATCAGGCACTGAAGTTACCCATCCCCCTGTGGGTAAATGCCCAGCCAAACACGGCTGGCCCAGAGGGGCCTGAAAGCCGCCACAAACCTACGGCACCTTCTGATGTGGACCCTTTCAGGCGCAGAAGGGACCAGACACATCTGGGAGGAAAAGAGCAAAACCAAGATCAAGACAAAAGCTGCCACCGCCCACCTCCCCACAGGGCCCTCACCCACGCTTCAACCAGCCCGGGGCTAACAAGCAAGTGCAGCTTCGTCACGTCTCTCTGCCCCTTGTGTCCCTCAGGTCACCTTCTTGCTCTCCTCTCCAACTTCTCCCAGCTCAGCTCTACCCTCCCTTGAGAGGGGCAGGGGACCTGGTGCCTTCTCTTTTCCCGGGGACTGCCCTCTTACAGTTCTGTCACAAACCTGCCCGAATGAGTCCTTGGACATTTGGCTTCCAAAGAATGGAGCCAGTTGCCACAGGCGTCAGTAAGGAGCAACAGGACTCAGAGTAGAGTGGAAGAAGTCCGATGTATTAGACAGCAAAGGACAGTCCCACAGGGCCGGGTCTGCCCCAAGGGCTGCTCCCTCAGGCGGCCTTACATAATGCATTCTGTATGACCTTCTGGCTGTTGAGTGTCAGAGCTTGCTGAGGTCCGCGAGCAGGAACTGCTTGGGGGTCACCTGCTGGAAGAATTCGACTGGATACTTTTCTTACTGTCTGCCTTAGCATCTGGCTAGATTTTTCACATAAAACATTCTTTGGAATATTTCCAACTTCATATAGCTTTTGTTTCTCACACACTAGCAAAATGTGCCTCATCAAAGAGAGTCGAGCAGGGTTGACTTCCAGATACTGAAACCACTTGTAGAGCTTGACCTTGCTGCAGGTTCCTCCCCACTGTTCTCCAAGCATCAGGTCCCTCTAGACTCAGTCTTTTTGGGAGAAGAGCAGCCAGCAGCAATGAAATAGTTTTAGGACCTTTACTTTCAGTCCTTATTCTCTTGGCAGCTTCCGTAAGGCCAGGGAAACCTATTTCTGTCCATTGAGCGCACCTGACTCAGTCCCTATCCTCGTTCCAGCAGGTGCCCAAATCCACAGCCTATGTGGCAGCAAGACTCCTGTGTCTGTCTCCAAGTCCCAAGGTTTAAATCCATTGCCTCTGACAAGTCACTTGTCTCTGAACTTGATCCTGGACGCTCTTCCGGTTATGTTCTCCTGGGATGCTTTGTTACCTTTTCGTGTGTGTTTGCTTTCCTTTGTGTCTCATTCATAGACTAGAATGCACCAGTGCAGAGAAGGGAACGCCACCAGTGACGTGACTCACCAATTAGTCGTCAATTGTGATGTATTCTGAGGAGCACTGCTGTGCTCTCCACCACACTGTTTCTTCACAACAGTGGCACTGGCCAAGCCATTCTGCTTCTGTGGAGCATCATTACCTGGGGCTGTGATCAGTTCTGTACCTGAATCATCATCATCTCCCCATACTGTAGTTACGGCTATTTCCTAAGAGTCAATTTTTCCTATTTCCATCATCATACTTATTAGCCTCCCCCAAATTCTGGCTCTTTTAAGTTTGCCCTTTGGAGGCAATGGAAGAGGCACCTTCTGAGTTTCATAGAACGTGCACACAGATACACATAGATGAAGACAGTACACAAAACAACAGCCTGAGAACAGAGGGAGATAAAAGAGACACTGGTCTTTCTGTCATTTACCTCACCTCTATTTTTTTAGTGTTTTTCACACTTTGCTATTCCTTTCACATCTTCATATGACTTTTATTTCTTTACATTAGTAGATTTTCCCTCTTGTGAATTCTCTGATGTTGACTAAGGTGTGAGCTCTGACTGAAGGCTCTCCCACACTCACTGCATTCATAGGGCTTCTCTCCAGTGTGAATTCTCAGATGTCGAATAAGGTGTGAGCTCACTCTGAAGGTTTTCCCACACTCCCTGCATTCATAGGGTTTCTCTCTGGTGTGAATTCTCTTATGCAGGATAAGATGTGAATTCAAGCTGAATGCTCGCCCACATTCTTTGCATTTGAAGGGTCTCTCCCCAGTGTGAGTTCTTTGGTGTCTAACAAGATCTGAGCTCCCCCCAAAGCCTTTCCCACATTCATTACATTCATAGGGTCTCTCTCCAGTATGGATTCTCTGATGCCTAATCAGCTTTGAGCTGTGTCTGAAAGCTTTCCCACATTCATTACACTGATGGGTTTTCTCCCCATTGAAGATGGCTGTAGTTTTAATAAGGTTTGGGCTTTTGACAGATTTTGCATATTGGTGAATTTTTTCTTCACAAATTTTTTGATGTTTAATAAAATCTGAATTCCATTTGAAACCTTGGTCACAGGCATTGTGTTTGTAGGATTTCTGGTGTATGAGTTCACTCGAATTCAGATTTAAGCTTCTTTCACATCCATCGTGACTTATTTCATGTGTTAGTGTATTTTTGTGGGTGAGGATTTTACTAAAACCCCCATCCTGAGCAGATGGTGGTCTCTGTGACATTCTTGGTCCTTTTTCCCACTGGTTCTTTGTCCTGCCTGTAGACTTACAGGTATCTTGAGGCTCAGTGGACCCTTCTGACGTCATTCTTCCTGATAGAATTCTCTGTGATTCCATTTTTTCATTCATGTCCAGTTTTGACATGGATCCACTGTTTTCACTCTCGTTATCTAAAAGAACACATGGAATGTTAGACATGTTCTAGGTAAGACACAAAATTCCCTCTTTTTCAATTGGGTGATAACACACTGGAAGAACGTTCTCTGCTTCTCACTGGACAGTGAATGACGGCACCGCCTCCAGCGGTGCTAAGACCAGTCTGAGGAAGGAGGACCAGCGTCGTCTTCAGTGACACGCACGCCCCAGCTTGCCCCTTACCACATTCCAGTAGGAGCTGGGGTTCTGAAGAACCATGCAGAGCCTTGGTGTCCACTGGCGGGAGCTGGTCGCTAAGCAGTGGTCCAGAAGGTGCTACCTTTTTCCTAAATATTTCTCGTCCATGTCCATGGACAGGAGCCTGAGAAAGAAAAAGTACATCTGGAATTAGGATAGAACCCCTCTTGGAATCAAACATTTAAAGAAACAGAATCTCTGACGGGAATACCAGATGGGGAAAGGAAGTTCAGTCCCACTCATCTATAAAAGGCAACAGTGAGGGAAGGAGCTGGAATACACACTGGTGAACTAAGTCCTGCGGGTCTCACTTCAGTCTCAGGCCCCTCCCTCCCCCTGTGGGGCTCTAGCCATTTCGGGGGCCTTGTACCTCCCAACCTCCCATCCCTTTTACTACCTGGTGTACTGCTTCTTCGGTGCCTCTCTGCAAATCTTCCAGTATGGCCACCGCCTCCTCGCCACTCTCTGGGTAATGCTCCCGCACCCAGGCCTGCAGCTCCCCGGGCAGGATGGTCAGGAACTGCTCCAGCACCAGCAGCTCCAGGATCTGCTCCTTGGTGTGGGTCTCGGGCAGCAGCCACTGGCGGCACAGCTCCCGGAGCCGGCCCAGCGCCTCACGGGGCCCAGGTGTCTCCTGGTAGCAGAACTGTCTGAAAAGTTGCCGGCACAGCTCCTGCCTGAAAGGATCACTTCTCTGAATGCAGATATCCTGCCTCCAGACAAAATCTTCCTCTTCTATTTTCACTATCAAAAGTCCTTCATCCTCCTGAAAGTTCTGAACTACAGCTTTCTTTGATTCTGTCATCTTGGGGTAGAATATATTATCACAAGTCCCACGTCTTATGTGGTTTTAGGAGTTTCTGTGAGGGATAAAAAAAAATCATTATTACTGTCTAGGAAAATGAAAGGTCACAGGATAGAAACAGTCATTCTCCATGACGTGCAAAAATTTACAAGGCATTTACTGTATATAAAAGTACTGAAATATGGCTTTGTGGAATACAACTGTAGCACGAGCTCTACCTCAGAGCATCTTCAAATTAAAAAACAAGACTTTAAATTACAATCATTAAATATAACTATAAAGCAAAACAAAAATTTACTCGCCACAGGCAGTTAATTTATAGGCCAGTCAAAAAAAAATAAGGACCAAAAGTAAAATACAGAAGTGCGTCTGTAAAGTTAAGGTGAAAGAGAGCAGAGTGGTTGCAATGGTCGGGGAAAGGTTAAATAACTTCTGAAGGATCTCAGACCTTAGTACTATGGGGGAGAAGTAGGAAATTACAAGCAAGGGAATAGGTTGGATAGCTGGTTAACGGTAAGAACAAAAAAGTGGCAAAGCAAAACGTCACCAGCAAAACGTCACAGAACATTTGAGAGCAAAGGCCCTACTGCAGAAAGCCTCAAATATCAAGCTCAGGAATTCAGCACTTGTCTTTTAGGCACTGGGGAGCCAATAAAAGTTTTTGATCAGAAAGTCCTGCCTGTGCGGGTTAGCAGATTACTCATTTCCAGGGTGGACTGCAATATGAAGAGACAGAAGCAGAGAAAAGCCACTGTACCCATCCAAGAGTGAGAAGGAATCAGGCTTGGAATGTTACACTTATCTCTTCAGAATTTGGAAGTAGAATTATAGAATTATCTTTTAAAGAAGAAGACAGGGCAACTTTTCTTGAGAGCAATTTCAGTCAGTGTAAAAAACCTCCCAACCTCTCAGGTGGGGTTTTCCTTTTGTTCCGACAGTTGCTTCTCTGTTCCCTAGCTTCATGGTTTTGTCTGTGTCTTGGACCTTGATGACCTTGACGACTACCAGATCATTATCGCCAATAAAATGAAATTAATAAAGCAGCACCGTGACTTGCTTATCAGTCTCCTGTGAGTTTTGTTATCAGGTATCAGTTCCTCAAGTCTTACCACTATATGGGAAAGGTCAGGTTGGTTTCACAACTGAACTGGAGTTTACAGATGTCCTACAGTACCAAAGCAAATGCCAGCCTTCCAGTTCCTCCTGCTAAACATTTCACCAAGCTGACTACTGAGTGTTGCACTGACAGGTATTCCAGTAAGAATGTTAATACAAAGCATTGGGCTAGAAGTTATGTGGCACAGGGAAGTCTGGCTTCAGAGCTGAGTTCACTGCCTAATCGTGGGAACTTCTTCAGAAACAGATTCCTGGGCCCTAGCCCTGTACACTGTTGCTTGGTTAGTATAGGGCGTGCCTGGAAAATCTGTGTTCTTATGTATGGATGTATTGTATTAAAAAAAAAAAGTCAGTTTGCAAGGAGCTTGCAAAATAATTGGAAAAAAATGAGATAAAAATGTACATGGATAGAAAACATTTAAATGACATCTTTCACATGTCAACATACACTGAAAATGCTTGATAAATGGTGAAAGTTGAGGTACTAAAGACATTGTATGGTCGAGGCACTAACTATCCTAACTGCCCTGAGGTAGAGAGAATGTATGCAAATGTTAGCAGACATTTCCTAGAGATGTCAGGATTTAAAATGCAAAACAGGGTGAGAAAAATCCAGAAAGACAAAAGGGAAGGGACAGAAGAATTAAGGTAGTGGGAATCAACAGTAGAATTGACAGTGAAACCAGCCTGCAAGGGGTAGAAATTGGAGTCACCAAGAGTTCCACCCCCTCTGGGGCCCTCCCTGGTGGTGCAGTGGGTTAAAGCACAGCACTGTGAGGCTAGCCACAGCCGCTGCAGCACAGGTTTGATCCCCAGCCAGGGAGGGGACCCACATGGTGAAGCTGGTCTCTCCTGTCTCTCCTGCTGCTCCCCTCAGCAGTGTACTTCATCCATCTGCCTGTTCTGCTCCCCACTCTGTCCCTAGTGAAGCCTCTCACTGCCCCTGCATATCTGGCCTGTCCCCCAGTTCTGTATGTATCAATAATAAATCTTTAAAAAAAGAATTCTACTACCTCTGATAAGGAATTCATCAACCTTACTGAGTTCCTACAGTTTCTAACACAGGACATCTGTGAACACGGCATCACTGGCATTGTTTTAATTGTTTGGCTACTTTTTTTCATTAATAAACTGGTGCTCCATGAGGTTAAGGACCTTGCATTATTAATCTTAAATTTTCACATTTGTTTATTGATTAAAAGGAAAGTCTGAAATGGTTTTTGTTTTGAATTTAAGATGATATTGAGACATTCACTTAGAGCACATTTCTGACATACTAAAATATTTACATGAAAAAGAGCTAGGTGTGGAAATAGATTTAGTCAAGCTCAATGGGAAGGACTGTTCATGCTCAGACTGAACCTTGTAAAAAACAGTTCGGCGCAAGAACACAACCTAGTGATGACAGAGGAGAATGGTGGGGGACTAGAGTGACAGTTTATCAATCACTGAGTATCTTCCATAGTCTACCTGACAGTCTATAGCTAAATGGTGTAATTTCACTTCTTATGTTTCCTAGATGTGCTATGTGCTTACTGGACGGTATCCTAGTACATTATGGGCATTATCTCACTTAGCATAGGAAGACAGAAAGTCTTCCACAGTTTGCTTAAACTTTACTGGTGATATGAAGAAGCAGATTCTACAACTGTATTATCCCTAAGAGCTGAAAGTCTGTTGTCAGGTGTTTTGTCCATTTAAAGCTACAGTCCACAACTCGAGGTAGAACTATCCGGCCCGTAAGGATTTGATGTAGTCTATCAATGCTGGCTTTCTACATGTTTTACTTTAACTTCAGGCACCTTAAAATGATCGTGTTCGGGAGAGTTACAAAAAGAGCCCAACAGACATGCGAACAAATGCTACGAGAACAGAGCAAGGAGTGACTGTGTGGGGTAAAGGTGCAGCAGAGGTAGGTTGGGAACACTGGGGGAGAATTCTTGGGGCACTTATAGCCATCTGCTTTGCTGTTTCCCGTTGGAGAACGAGGGCAGGGGCTTTCCTGCAGTCCCGGATTCAGGTATTAGGGAATCCTGCTGGTGTGCCTAAGTCTCCTGGGGGGGGGGGGGG